TTTGCCCATCACTACCATTTACGCTGACAGTTACATCCAGGTTTTGGAGTTTTGTGTCTTGTGTCGTACCTCCCTCTTGTGTTCCCTCATCGTCATTACGCCTCTTTTCCCTCAGTTGTTTACYTGTCATTTCATCTTGACACACACACACCTGTCAGTAGTTTCTAACTAATGTTTTCATCAGCTGTTATTCATCTCCTCATTCCCTCTGTTTTTATTTATTCTGGTTCAGTTCTTCACACACTCACTGGTTCACTGTTTGATTCTACATCGACTGGTTCTCCTCGTCATCTCCCTGTCGTCTTCTGAGTGTTTTTATTTTTTGTAAGTTTGCTGCCACGTCAGCCTTTGTTTTGTTCTTATAATAATTATCCTTATTTTCTTAATCTCCGTCCGGATTTGGGTTCATTCCTCGCACCAAACTTAACACCTGCTGATTTCAGCAAGACAACGAAGACGTGCACGTGTTCCAACAGCGTGGCTTCGTAGTAAAAGAGTGCAGGAACTAGACTGGCCCAAACGCTTGTTGAGTGYTGTTAAAGGAAATCTGACCCTGTCTCAGCTCTATTAAAACATCCATCCATCCATCCATCCATTTTCTGTACACGCTTCTTCCTTTTCAGGGTCGCGTGGGTCACTGGTGCCCATATCCAGCAGTCACAGTGCGAGGGGCARGGTACACCCTGGACAGGTCGCAAGTCCATCACAGTCTATTAAAACATGTTGCATCAAATTCAGAAAGAGTGAATATTTTTGCTGTGGATTCAGTTGAATATAGGTTGAAAAGTATTAACAAATAATCAAATTCTGTTTATGTTTTACACAACGTCCCATCTTCATTGGGATTGTGGTTGTATATGGATACTGGTCTTGATGCCCCACTGAATGTGTTCCAGGTTACATTTCAAGTGAAAAGTTTTGTCAGTTTCATGTTTGATACAAGTTATTTTTATTTATTTTCAACTGTGTCAACATAGCATGCTGTATATTTGATTTAATCCAGTCAGACGGACTATAGGTTTATCAGGAAGGAGAGCTCTGTGTTTTAAATAAAATAAATGTGTTTAAAGTTATTGTGTAATATAAGTTCTAACTCTGAGTACTCGGTATCAGCGATTACCCAAACTGAAGTTCTTGTACGTGGTTTGAGAAAAAACTGGTTTGGGGACACCCCCAGGTTAAAAGAAGCTAGAAGTATTTGTGTACAATATTTGCTCGAAACTAAAAATCCAATTCTTACATTTCAGATTGGCAGACAACAAAATGACAGAAAATCCAGAGGTTCTTGCACCAGACAGATTGAAACGGTATCACAAACGTGTTTTGTGGTCTAAGCGCGTACCTCCGTCAGGCAGGTTGGCCCAGTAGATGACCCTGAAACCCAGCAGGTTCCCGTTCAGAGCGTCTTTGGGAGGAGTCAGCCAGGACAGAGAGATCACCTCTGGAGACGTGGCCACAGCCTGGACGTTTTCAGGAGGACGACTCGGCACTGCAGGAGGACAACCAGGACAGCTGTGAGAACAGTGGACCCAAACATGGACTTGATGCAGCTGCAGTACCTCCGGGTGTCCACTAGGCTGTGATAAGAGCTCACTAATGTCTGCACTGCTGTCCACARACACGTGCTGCTGAATCCTGCTCTGTCAACACACTGCACTGCTTTTACAAAAATAAAAGTTTCTTATACAGTAACTCTTCAGGTCACAGTTTCTGTGCCAGGTGACACAAACTCCAAAACACAAAGCAGACTTTCCACATTTCTGTCTGATAATTTCAATATCTGAACCCAGTCACTTCAACAGAAGTCAGAAGGTTTCGTTCAAAACTGCAGCTGAAGACAAATGTTAAATACTTTGTTTTTCCYGAAAGAAACATGAGATACATGGTTTTTCTGCTCTTGTCTAATAACTAAAAGAGGTTGATTTGCTTTCAAATCAACCGTTTGCCATGAGCTGAATGATTACTAATCTACATCCAGCCACTGACAATATATATA